AAAAAGAAAAAGAAAAAAAGAGGAAGCAATGTAGAGTTTAATATGTAAATACCAAAGCCACCAACATAGTTTAAATTCACATAGTGCCAAGTCATTACATCTTCAATGATACTTAAGAGCTTTCCTTGGTTTCTGCCCTCACATTGCTAGTTTTGACTCAACGACAGGAGAGGAATAGTAGAGACTGTAAAGGAAAAGGAAGCTGAGGCAGAAGAGGAGGAAACGTCACCCTGAGCATATAAATGCGGCTACTGTCTCTGTGAAAGCATGATCACCACAGTAATACTTCATCAAGTATCATGGTGATATTTTTGCTAAACGAAGAAGACTCACAATAACTTTTTCTCATGTAGGTGCCATATAAACTCATAAATGATTGAAAATTACAAATTCACCTATGTCATTAACAATAAAGAATTAAGAACACGATGTTTTCCTTACCAGAATGGAGTGCATTCCCATGTAAATTCTACTTAGGCAAACTAGAGAACACCAGCAGGGAATAAGAATCAGTCCATATAAAAGAGGGTACTAAAGGGGGGAAAATAAAATCAGTTAAAACAAATAAGAGATCAATGAGCAAATAAAAACTAAATCACTCTACTATAAACTCTGTGAAAACAAGAACTATGCATTTTTATTCCCCATTATATTCCCAGCCCCTAACCCTGAGCATGGCACACAACAGACATTCAAGAAATACTTTTGTACGAATAAACAAATGAAATCTCATGTTCCTATGCTCTTTGTCGTGGGAACAGGCTTGTTCCTACATCTGTAGTAAGGGTTAATCACTGGCACGCTACAGAAGGAAAACAGGTAAGAGACAAACTTTTAATATGGCTTCCAAGATGAGAGTGAGCGCCTCAGGAACCGTACCGAGTCTGGCCCATGTAATGCTCTTACTTCTCTGAGGAGGAGGATGGGGCGGTTAGTTAACTCCCTCTCACTTCTATCAGTGATGCCATTTGCAGTTTGTGTTGACAATCCCCCTCCTGTATTCAACACTGGACACCTCTACTCAGCTCTCCACTTTGATCCCGCCTGCATCTCCCTCCTCAGAGGAGGAGGTGGCTTTGATCCTGAGATTACAGGGAAGCAGGTAAGGAAAGACGGGTATGGTGATATATCTGATGGGAAGGAGGGCACATTTGGGACAGTTTATGCCTGATGACTTCAAGTTTCTCAATGAAATTGAAGCCAAAGTGGTTGGAGAAGTGGGGTGGAAAGAAGGGAGTTAGGCAGTTAAGTTAGGTGGTACAAAGAGTAAATATTTAGTACACAGGCTTTTTTGTGCTTTTTTTAAGACACAGAGTTTCACTACTTTGTTGCTCAGGCTGGGATACAGTGGCTATCACAGGTGTGATGATAGCACACTGCAGCCTTGAACTCCTGGGCTCAAGCCACCTCCTGCCTCAGCTTCCTAAGTGGCTGGGACTACAGGCACAGTCTGTTTTGATTTGACTTCTTGAAACTTTATTTTTATTTATTTTTGTTGTTGTTGTTGCTGCAATGTGGCCGGGGCTGGGTTTGAACCCACCACCCTCAGTAAATGGGGCTGGCACTCTACCCACTGAGCCGCAGGTGCCGCCCAACTTCTTGAAACTTTAAATACCCTTGATAGTCACAGCTTCACACTCTTCTCTCTTGGGTCCCCTTTCACCAATTATTTTTTTGCCATGTTTCTCACACAAGAGCATATCTTTCTCTTCTTATTCTTAGACATCAGTATAGAGAAGGATTCTGTCTGTAGGAGTTACTGACAGTCACACCCTTTCTGACTTGTTAACTACAACCCAGGCGTGTGAAGGCCGACCTGCTTCCCCTGCTTCACATATCCAGCTCCTACACATGTCCACCCTGGGGTCTCTGTGGAGCTAAACCCACTATACATCATATTAAGCCTATCAGCTTATTGCCCAAACTTGCTACTCCTCTCATATTCTCTATTTAATTTGGAAACATCATAAACCACAAAGTCCAAATAAGAAGCATGGATTACCCTTGATTCTTTCCTTATCCCTCATATTCAACCAATAACCAGGTCTCACTAATTTTCATCTCCTAAGTATTCCTGATCTGTCATCTCTTCCCCTTCTTATTTATGCTGCTCTTGCTTACACCCTCATAGTTTCTGTTCTAGGCTCTAGCTATGTCTTTTCTTTTCCTTTTTTTTTTTCTTGAGGCAGTCTCAAGCTGTCACCCTGGGTAGAATGCTGTGCTGTCAAGGCTCATAGCAACCTTAAACTCTTGGGCATAAGCCATTCTCTTGCCTTAGCCTCCCAAGTAGCTGGGATAACAGGTACCACAATGCCAGGCTATTTTTTGGTTGTAGTTGTCATTGTTGTTTGGCAGGCCTGGGCTGGATTCGAACCCACCAGCTTTGGTGTATGTGGCTGGCCCCCTCGCCACTGAGCTACAGGCACTGAGCTGGCTCTACCTATTTCTCCAGCCACTTTCCTTCTTTCTTTTTTTTTGAAACAGAGTCTTACTTTGTTGCCCTTGGTAGGGTGCTGTGGTGTTATAGCTCGCAGCAACCTCAAACTCTTGGACTCTTGGGCTCAAGCAATTCTCTTGCCCCAACCTCCTGAGTTGCTGGAACTATAGGCTCCCGCCACAATGCCTGGCTAATTTTTTCTTTTCTTTTTTTTGTTTTAGGCCACGAGGTCTCTCTCTGGCTCAGGCTGGTCTTGAACCTATGAGCTCAGGCAATCCACTGACCTTGGCCACCCAAGTGCTAGGATTACAGACGTGAACCACCGCACCTGGCTCTCTAGCCCCTTTTCCACAAACATGAGGAACTTGGCTTAATGGAGCAGACAGACATGTAACCATATAATGAGGTAAGTGGTATGAAGGAATATACCAAGCCTTCAGAGGGAGATAGGGGATAAGCATTTAACTTCACTTAGGGATGCTAACAAAGTAGGATTTGAGTTACCCTGAAATATGAGTATGATTTCATCAGAGAAAAGGAGTAAGGACAGGGCAAAAAAGATGGGGAATATTACAAAGAACAGGAACAGCATGAACAAAGGCCTGTGTGCAAGAAATTGTTAACCACTCTCAATACCAATATGAACACACCCACAAGAGAAACATGCAATTCAAGTTGGGGGAGGGGGCGGAAGGGGAAGTGGTGTCTCCTATCTAATGGGCACAATGTCAGGGTATGTGGCACACATTCTAGATGCGGGACACAACCAAACAGGGGCCTTACCTAACAAATGCAAATACTGTAACCAAATGCAAATACTGTAACCTAATTGTAAGGATTAAATTTTCTGGAAGAAATACTACATAGTAAACACAAAAACATGCAAATTATGTAACAAATAAACATATATAAGTTATATAATAAAATCTGATCAATATGGAGAAAATAAAGAGAATGGTGTTGAAAAACAGTAATGCTCGTGAATTCTGCTGTGCTGCTCCTGCGTGTCAAGTGGGCTGCAATAAGATGGGGGTTATGTGACTAGTTTTGGCCAATGAGCTGGGGGAAAGGTCACTTCTACCACTTCCAATTATTCCTTGAACTCGCTCCTTCCTGATGTATGTGAGCCTGAGAAACCACGTGTTGAGACGCATCACAAGGCAGGCAAACTTCCATCGGCTGGGTCCCTGAGGTCCTCACATCAACAGAGCTGTGTGCTACCTCACAATGGATAGATACAGGACATAAATGTGATATAAGTTTTTGTTGTGTTAAGTCACTGAGAGTTGAGGGTTAGGTTATTACCACAGCATAACCAAGCCCATCTTAATTAAAACAGAAACAGAAAGGGGGTCAGGAGTTTCAAAGTCTAAGTGAGCAGGTCACAGTATTACCCAGAAGACCGCCAGTGCAGGCTTCGCTGAGAGCTGAGGCAGGGCTGAGAGCAGGGGCGGGGGGTGGGTATCAGCCAGGAAGACCTCTGAGGGAGGAGTGCATCCCCGGCAGGGGACTCAGCCAGAGCAAAATCTCTAAAGACACGGGCCAGTGCTGGGAAAGGTGCTTGTGTGGCCAGAGCAGAGAGCAAGGAGCAGAGAGCGAGCTGGACAGGTCAGGGAGGGAATGGGGAAGAAATCTGACTTCTACTGTGAATTAAATACGGAGCCAGCACAGGGTTCTGAGTAGAGCAGTGCATGACGGCTGTGAGTGGGAGGTTAAATTATAAGGGAGCAAGGGTGAGCACAGGGAGACCACTGGGAGGCTGCTGGTATAAGCTAAGTGAGAGATGACAGTGTCTTCTGTCTATGGCAGAATCCCAAGCCTTCTCAATTTTACTGTAGTCCAGGCTGGGCAACATGCTGAGACCCTGGCTCTAAAAATAAATAATAAATAAATAAAAATATATAAGTAAGGGCCAGACACCGTGGCTCACGCCTGGACTCCCAGCATTCTGGGAGGCCAAGGTGGAAGTACTGCTTGAACTCAGGAGTTCAAGACCAGCCTGAGCAAGAGTGAGACCCTGTCTGTACTAAAAAATAGAAAAATGGAGATAAGAGATTGTTTGAGCCAAGGAGTTTGAGGTTGTTGTGAGGTATGATGCCATGGGACTGTACCAAGGACAACAAAGTGAGACTCTATCTCAGGGGAAAAGAGAAAAAAAAATATATGTGTGTGTGTGTGTGTGTGTATGTATGTATGTGTGTGTAAATAGTTCTGTTAATTTTTTTTTTTTTTTTTTTTAAAAAAGAGCCTCAAGCTGTCCCCCTGGGTAGAGTACTGTGGCATCACAGCTTACAGTAACCTCCAACTCCTGGGCTCAAGCGAGTCTCCTGCCTCCGCCTCCCAAGTAGCTGGGACTACAGGCGCCCGCCACAGTGCCTGGCTATTTTTTGGCTGCAGCTGTCATTGTTGTTTGGCGGGCATGGGCTGGATTCAAACCCGCCACCTTAGGTGTATGTGGCTGGTGCCTTAGCCACTTGAGCCACAGGTGCTGAGCTGATTTTTAAAAGCTGTTAATAGCCAAAAAGAGAGCAAAAGAAGTAAAAAAAAAAAAAAAAAAATCCAACAAAAAAATCCTCTGAAGCCTTTCTCTTCTTTCTCTCTTTTTCTGTTTAGACCCCATAAGGAAGTAAAAACATACAGAATTACTGATGAGGGTTCTTCATACACAATAGATTGAAGAAAAAATCATTTATAGAATCTCAGAAGGAAACAGATTTGTGTGGAATTATCCTTTGCCAAGAAATGACAGAATTCACTACAAATATGTAAAATATATAAAAACCACTCTTGCAATGAAAAAAAAGACAAAAAAGAAAAAATATATAAACCACTCTTTTTAGTTATCTTTGTTAGTTCTCCCTTTTTTCATCTTTCTTCCTAACTCCTGGGTGTGTTCCAAGGCTTCTTTCTTCTTCTTCTTTTTGTTTCTACAGTAGCTATTTATTTATAGAGACAGAGTCTTACTGTGTCACCCTCAGTAGAGTGCCACAGTGTCACAGCTCACAGCAACCTCAAACTCTTGGGCTTAAGTGATTCTCTTGCCTCCGCCTCCCAAGTAGCTGTGACTCCAGGAACCTGCCACAACGCCTGGCTA